CCGTATTTCGTTCTGTTTCCATCTTTTTGGTCCTGACATCAAAGAACTACTTCGTAAAGCTTCCCAGATTAGGTCTTTGATGTTTATTATACACCCACAGGTACAAAAGTAATCACATGGTGGCCACTGAAGGGGAACTCATATCCTTTTATGGAGGCGTAACCGAGTTAAACCGCAGCATGAACAGACAGTGATTTCAAATTCTCTGCCATTGTTTTCATTTCGAATTTAGATATCTCTTGATGAGATTAAATTATTAGCCGGCACGATGCAATAAAAGCAAGAGTAGGCAGGTGCTTTCTGACACAAGTATTACGCAATGATTAGGTCATCATCCTACGTAGTCATTTGTCATCGAGAGATTTCAATAATACAGCTATTGTGAGCACTCAAGTTGAAAATGGTCTATAGCCAAGGAAGGCATAATCATAAATGGCTCAAGGGCGGAAATTAAATTGAACTATTGTTTTTTAACCATTGCTTATTTAATATTTATTTGACTCTGATAAGATTCTTTAAAGAACAATTATTCTCATACTTCGAAAATATGAAATTTTGCACAAATTTTCTGACCAGTATTGATTGCAACCGGGTACTAGGCTTTATCCTCCGTAGACAAAGTCACTATAACAGACATGTTTTGTGCATGTTACCATTTTAAATATCTGCCCCCTTCGACATTTTAAGACTCGATTTGTTACAGTTTTTTTTTGCTTTTTTTTATCGGCTTAATAGGTTTGGCCAATGTTATATCGGCTTAGTGGCCTCATACTGCATTTGTTTAACGAATGTAAAAAAATTTTGTGTGCATATGCAGGGGCGGATTTAGGGGGGCGGACGCCCCCTCCCCCTCAGGGATTCGACCCCTGCCGACCCAAAGGGTCCCCCTTTGTACTATTTCGAAATATCCATTTTTGTTGACAGACCCTAAAAACTTTCTAAAGGCGCCTTCAGCGTCAATATACACTATTTAATTTTGAGGGGGGAGCGCGCGCGGAAAAAACGCTATTTGTTGTTAAAATTTTCCAAAAAGTGCCTAAAAACGCCTTTTTTGGCCTGTTTTTTCAAAATTTTGCCTGCGGCGCAGAAAATGTGGCCAAAACTGGGTTTTTTAGTGCTTTTTTTGGGGGGGGGGGGGGCGCTCGAAAAATCAATTTGGTCAACCTAAGAAAAAGGTCGACAAAATTTTCGAGATCCGCCCCTGTGCGTAATTTTTATGTCTTTTTGATTTTTTTTGGGTTAAAGGATTTCTGCTACGGTATTTCTGGCTTTGTCACCGCTTGGATGATAATTTCAGATTGTTTTGTCTTGGCAGTTTGTGTTTCAAAACTAGCTTTATTCATTTTGATCGATTAGTTTTTTCGACATTTACGATTTTTTTTCCTTAACGGCTTTCTGGTTTTGTGTCGGAAGTGGCGCGAAGCTCCGCTTCGTCTCTGTGTAAACTTATGAAATTTAAGTTAGACAATTCTATCATATTGATATCCTACAAGTTCTTCAATTAGCCGTTATGCAAAAAAAAACAGCTTGCTTATTTATGAAGGCTGAAAACTTAATATTTTTAACTTTACTGAAATTTTCCAGGGCTATTTTTCATTAAAAAAAGACTGCTGTTTGTTACTGTATGGGCGCTATTTGTGCCTTGCAGTATACATCAGGCGAACATTATGATCCAGGATTATGTTTTTGAAAAATGTTGCAATGTTTAATTTATCGTAAACAAATAGTTATATTTAATTTTTATGGGTCATACCAGACGCTGACTTTACGAGAACAAAGAGGAAGTTATAGTTGGCATGAATTGTCAAAGAGGGTGATTTTTTATGTATGACAAATTAGTCATCTGCTTAAATAGCTATTTTGTCATATCAGGAATTGTATTTTATTGCTTTCATAAGGGTGCAGGGTTGCATAAAAATCTGATGTATATTCTCGATTGATTTAAATCCGATTTTCATTATTTTACCTAGATTTTTTCAATTTTTATTGGAAACGTCTTTGTTTCAAGAATCAATTAATTGACGCAAAATTACTGATTCAGCATCCGATAGAAGAACACAAGTTACCCATATTTTTCTATTCCCTGTCAATTTCTGAGACTGGAATGGATAAATCCGAAAGTACTGAAAAACTTTTCCAGTTAAAAGTATGCTATGCAGAGCGAAGTACGCAACCAATGTAAATACTGCGAGATCGGTTGTATGTTTACGGCGGCACTCGGCAGGGTAACACAAGGGTTGATTTTTTTTTATTTTTATTCTACGATTAAAATCCGATTTAAATCATTGATTTAAATCAAGTTGATTTTAATCATGCAACCCTGCAAGGGTGTTTAGAAAAAATCCAATTTGTTTTCTCCTTTTTTTATTTAAAAAAAAACTGATGAAACGCTAGAAGATTAATGGAAAGTTTGATTACAAAGGTCAAGAACTCTTTCGAAAGTAATATTTGAGAAGAGAAAGTTGCGCGATTGCAAAGTTTTATTTCTGACTTCAAATAAATCATGGTCTTGTGTAAACATCCAAGTTTGCATGTCAAACATGAAACATCAATCAACAGTCCGCTAATCTCCTACGCCTAATACCACCACCCCACCCGAACGTAACATCCTACGCATTGATTAAGTAGCATCATAACAAAATTGTTTACTCGTGATGCAATTACACTCAACGACTACCAATTTAATACTAACTATAATTATATTTTTTTGGTTCAGTTGAGTTTAGACTATAAAGATGTTTAGTTGGCACCTAGTCACAGTTTGACTTCCCCCTGGAGTAAATACGATCAAACAGCTTGACTTGTAACAACAAGCAAGCAGAGCCAAGACAGCATTTGCTCTGCTCTTTATGCCTCGGGTGAGGCCGGACCATTTTTAAAAGACGGTTGTCACCACGAACCCAGCAGGTTATAAGCCAATGAGCTCTATAAATATCTTAAGTACAGACACATCAACAGAAAATAAGACCATAATCAGCTGTCCTAGATTTTGACCAGGGGCAGGGGCGGATCTAGGATTTTCTCGAGGGGGGGGGCGGATTTTCAAAAAATTTTCCAAAATTTTGACGACCTTTTTTTTTTTTTAGGTCGACCAAATTGATTTTTCGAGCTCTCCCAAAGCACTGTTTTGCCCCTACTTTGGCAAAATTTTGTGCGCCGCAGGCAAATTTTTGAAAAAACAGTCAAAAAAGCCGTTTTTGGGCAATTTTTGAAAAATTTTGACAAAAAAAATCGCGTTTTTTTGGCGCGCGCTCCCCCTCAAAGTTAGTATATATTGGCGCCAAAGGCGCCTTTAGAAAAATTTTAGGGTTGGTCGGCCAAAACTGGATTTCTGAAAAAGTATCAAAGGGGGGACCCTTTGGGTCGGCAGGGGGTCGAATCCCTGAGGGGGGGGGGCGTCCGCCCCCCCCCTAAATCCGCCCCTGACCAGGGGCATATTTTAAACATAATTTTGAAACTTTGTTTTGGGCGACAAGTGGATTAACGAAAGAGGAGTTCATTTCTCCATTTCTTGGTACGATGCTCAACGAAATGTTTATACTCATGCTCCTGAAGGCTGTTTTAACACAAACAGTCCAAATACTTGTCCAAATTGACAAAGAGCCAAGTGCCTAGCTTCATTTCATTAAAAGTTACTTAAACTTATGATTGGTAGCTACGCTGTGCTAACTAATTATTGTTAGTTACCCCCTGCCTGCGCCTTCGCTAGTTTCTTCAGCAAATAAAGTAAATTGGTGCATTCTCTCGTTCTGATCAGCAAAGAGCGTGGCGCTAAGTTTTGATTGATGCGTAGTAACACCACATGACGGTAGTAGTTTCTTACGTTTGTTAATGAAACATTGATCTAGGCACCGTGTTCGGCGCGTGATCTCATGGAGTATAAGTGACTGTCTAGACTGTAAGGCAGACAAAAGAGCAAAAAAACGCCAAAATAGCTTCATTCAAGTTCTAGATTCTAGACTTCAAAGTCGAATGCAGAGGAAGCGGCAGAGTTAAACTGAATTGAAAATGCGCAATTTGTTTTGAGCCTTTCTGAATCTGAACTATGTACCTATGAGTTTCTATGATAGGGGTAATTATAGTGAACAAATAATGCAAGACGAGAATGCAGAATGTAAGTGAGTATTAAAATGTGATCTCTTGGAACCAAAATCGTAAGTGGAATAATATGCGAAATAAAAAAAACAACTTTTTGGTTCTTCAATTCTGTTATTAACTAAACAACTGAACTTAGCTGCTTACTAAAGCGAAGTTCTCAATTTAAGTGTTTCAATGAAACGCGAGATAAAAAATTTTTTGAAAAATATTTTAAAAACAATTCAGTTGCTGAGAAATTATACAAAAGTAAACAAGGATAGCCGGTAATTGTGCAATTAGCACAGAATGTTCGGACCATAGTTTTTTTTCAAATTAGTGTCATTTTTTCAAAAGTTCTGAACGAAAAAATAAAACTTAGGAATCATCGGCAGTCATATTAAAATGGGGCAACTGGAAAACAGTTTTTGTAGAAAAATGACAAGAAAACAAAAAATAAATTGTTAGAAAATTTTTTGAGCTTTGAAGTTTTTGGTTCCACAATTGGCGTTGGAAAACTCCATAAACTAACTTTACTTAAGTGAAATTAAGTTATCACGGCTTAAATTAAGCATAAAAACCGCGTTCACCTTATTAACTTGAAACTAGGCCAAAGTCAAAAATTTGAAACTGGTTTTTCTCGGCACCGTTTTTCTTTTTTTTTGATTTTTTTAATGTCGTTCGAATCACTCGACCCATTCCGATGATTATTTGAGGTACCTGATTTTGCGTGGAAAACCAAAAGAAAAGGAAACTAAAACACGCCTGAATACAAAGCCTTCTCCACATTTTTCAAATGGTCCTATGCTACTCAATTAAACAAGGTTTTCAGATGTTTGCGTAATCTATTTTTTTTGTTTTTGTTCATGTGAGTGCTTGTTGTTTTAATTGATTTCGTGCAAATGTATGATGGAAACAAGACTCACTCGTTCTGTTGGCTTGTCCTGTGTACGATTCTAGGGTTCACCGGCTCGCTAGGTTCAGCCTCTGCAGAAATCGCTTCGAAACTAGACTCCTGGGGATGGTGAATTGTAATGATAACGAGCCCAGGATTGCTTTTCTGTCCATCAGATACGAACACTTTGAGCTCTATTTTAGTGAGACGTTTGAAGTGTTCCATGGGTTGGAACGTGGGTTCCACTCCAGAAGAGAAAGGTCTAGGGCGGGTGGGAGTGGTGTAGTAAGACTCGAGTGAGCTGGCTGCTGTGATCTTACCACTTCGTTGGTCTATAGCGAATCGGTCATCTTTGATGCTGAATCGGAGTCTCGGTATGTCCTCTAAAAATAAATCGAGTTTCAATAAAAAACGTGAATATATTTTGTTCAAGGAAAGAATTGAGTATTCGAGATATTTTATACACCATTGCTAACTCTTGTGCATGATACAAATATCTTTTTGGTTTTGTTGGAGTCTAGATATTAATAACGGAAAGTGCGGGGTTAAGTCTTTTTTGCGAAAGTCCAAGAAATCAAGTGAAGAATTATGAAATGCATGCTTTTCTGAAAATTTTAGAGTAACCCAACTATCGTACTCAAAAGTGAAATTTCGCCTGAATCAAATTAACGACAACTTACCTGTATCTTCGTCGGTCGCCTGTACCTGTGCTATAAACTCGCCAGTCTCCGGAAAATGATCGAACTCAACCTCGATTGTTGGCGGAATAAAAGTGGGAGTGGCTTCATTCTCGTCGAACACATCAGCAATCACGTTAACATAATACTCTTGTATGTTTGTCTGTGTGTTAAACACACTAACTACAAACTTCTCCTGGCTCGTCTTTTCGTAGTCGATTAGTTTGATGAGAGTAATTCGGCCTTCGTTGTCGATGTCGAAATGGGAGTTAGGGTCTCTCATGCTGTATTGGTACGGCCTAAAAATTAATTGACTTCGTGGTATAAGTAATGATTGTTGGGTACCTAAAATTAAGATGGGTCACTGAAGAAAAATGTCTAAGCCATAAAATCTTTGAAAAAGTGGTTCGCAATGTTTACCTGTGTTTTTGAAATTATCACAAGAATGGCGGGACCCATCTTTCATTTTTGCTTTTTGTGGGACCCAGCTATCATGCTTGTACCGACTTCGTTTTTGGAAATTTTCTCGGTGCGGAGAAAAAACCGCCTGAAATATTTGCTTTTTAGACTAATTTCAGGCGAGCTAGGTTTTATAATAATATTGCGCTTTTCTTTAAGCTTTTATTTAAAACTAATTTGCCTCAAGGAAAATTTGGAAATTTTCAAGATTTTTCTTTTGTTTGGTTTTTCTATTTTTTGAATACTAGTTTTCGTCTAGTTCCTCTTGTGACACGAAACACAAAAAAAAACGACACAATTTGGAAATGACAATTTGTGGTCGGAACTTTCAGTGCTAGTTGCACAGCAACCGGCTAATCTTGTTTTTTTTTTGGTAAAATCTATTTTGATCCTGAAAATATGTATGGGTCTCATAAGAAAGCAATTTGCCTTAAATTTCCGAAAATAATTTGTCTAATTGTTTTTTTTTTGCTTTGTATAGCTTTTCTAAGAGACCCAATGTTAAGTGTACCGTTTTTTTGGTAATTTTTTCAGTCGGATTTAATCATCGAATTTTTTTTTTTCGATTTTTGAGCATATCTGAAAAAGTGCAAATTAGTTTTGAAAAAACGTAACGGAGTTCGACATAAAAATAGACTACTTACTGTCCAACCCAACTCATGGAATCCCTCAAACTGTAAACTAGAGAGTTCTCGTGACGGTTCTCCGAGACGTAAAAGTGGGTTTCAACCGTGTTTATTTGATGTTCATTGGGATCCCATGCCTTGACGAAACTCGTAGAAAGACAAAGACAACAGAGAACTGTAATTAAGATGGAGTGAACATTTGTGTAACTCCTGGTTCTCCGAGGACCCGGAGTCTTCGGGTTCATTTGATGGTGAATTTTGACGCTTGAGGGCGTTGTTTGAGAAATGGTGGAAGGCATAAGGAGTTGCTGATGGAACATAGTGCTAGGGTCAAAAATGAAGTCTTCAATTCGCCGGTTTGACATGTTGAAATTGGCAGTTTTTTGAGAGTTGATCCTGTAGGAGTAGTTTCAATTTAGGCTTTAAAATGTGTTCCTATTTCGTAGTACAGTAAACTATCAAGAAGGAATAAGGCCTGTGCCGAGAGACCAGCTACTCAAGTGAAACAAATATCACCTAAATGATTGATCGGGAAAGGGTTTCTGGGCTAAATTTTGTATCATGTTCGAACTTGCTCTGATAAAAATTTCCCCTACTTGTAAACAAAATTGAAGTAATAGTACTACTATAAATGTTGTTTTCTGGATCTATTCTAGCATAAAGTTAGCTATAATGTGGTCGAGTTTTGTTAAAATGATAAAATAGTCTGAAAGATAACGAATGAAATTCACTTAATTTCATTTTCAGCGAATGAAAAGGCGAGACTTAGATTTACGTGTTATCTAATATGACCGCCGTATTTTAGCGTAAAAACATTCCCAGCTTACAAAGTATGGAAAAATGGGACCTAACAAACAATTTGGAGGAATAAAATAATGAGTAATACGGACAAAAATTCTTGTGATTTTTTATCAGTTCGCTATAAAAATTCAAAAGAAGGAAGGAATGACAAACAAACTGCAACGTGCGAGAATGCTAAAAACACAAACTGAAAAATAAGCAATCAACTGTTTTTGCTCTGCTGTTTGTTCGCAGAACATTTTTCGACTAGAAAAATTCAAGTCTTTTATGGCATTTACCGCTCGGAGCAGGAAATAGAAAAACTAGTTGTTGAATTTTTTATTGAATAAAAGATCTCCCAAACAATAAGAGGCAACTTTGTATCATTTTCTTGCTCAGACTGGCTGACTCTGAAAAGTAAAAGCGGTTTGCTGCAGTTTGAAAAAGAAGTAAAACAATAAACTAGTTTTCTAAAAACCAGAAAATTAAAATCAAGGGTTTTTGATAGCACACTATGGCACAGCACATTATCATTAAAAATGGGTTAATCGCGTTAACAAAACTTACTCTAATCTTGACTCGTGTAAACAAAACTTGCCGCGTTCCAAGACATTCAGCGCAAACGGGTTAAAAAGGCAATAACACAGCAACACTTTTTTGTTTGTTTGCACATTGTCTGTTATGTTATCCAAAATCCAAAATAATTCAGTTGATAGGGCACTCAATGAAACAACATTGGCTAATTAGCGTCACCCGAAAAGCTCAAACAAAGCGGAAAAAAGGCCCCTTCAGTTTGTTCTCAAGAAGTTCTTAGCAGCCCATTGAGATTATTTTTCTCAGCAGGTACATAATTCTACTCTCAAAAATCTTAATTTAAGGAATACAGAAGTCTGTGGTCATTTTTGATCCGTTTTGTTGATGAAAGCTAATGCATATAACAAAACTCAGTAATTTTTTGGTTTTCAACATATGAATATATAATAGCATCAGGGGTTAGTGCCGGTTTCCAACAAATGAGAAATGCATCTCAAAATACATTCTTGGACGATGGAATCTGCTAGCGCGCAATGATATTTTTTACAGTTGTAACGAACTCTGTCACCACAAATTTCCAGAGCATAACTTTTACCTAATTTACAGAGATTTCAGATCTGAGGACTTACGGATTCAACTGGCTTGCGAGGAGCTTAATTGGAGATTTTCAGCATATGTGAGAGATTGCTGATAAGGAAAGGATCAAGTTCGAGCGCTAAAATTATTTCAAATTAAGGAGTGTCCAAACAAAACTTATGTTGAATTATCGAACAGCCATAAATGATAGTACCGAGTCTTGAAGCTCTCTTGAACGAAAGCCCGGCTACCTAAAGAAGGTTTAGTTAGGCTTTAGTGGGGGATTGGGACGCTTATCTTTCTTGTTTGTTTATCTCTATGTGCTTGCTTAATATCGAAATCGGTCTGCTATTAGCAGTGACCAATTTTACTCAGTTTACTATTTGACTAATGTCACTTCACGCTGAAACATGTCGAGGAGTCCTCATTGATGATCTGATTTAGACCAAGATCATAAATCTATCTACTAATATCGAACTCGAAGTCAATAACGGTGGTTAACTGAGTACCAAATATGGCAATGATATTGAAAGGGAGATGACACGCCATCATGTCTACATATGTGAATAAAAATGGTACTGAAGTTTAGCTCAAGTACAAATGAGTGTGCTCATAACGGTGGAACGCAGTAAAACAATTATCAAATTTATAGTGAATTATAAAACACGTGTTACCTTTCCCGTTTAAATTATATTGAATGAAACTCCAGTTTTTAAGATCTACAAAAATTTCGAACGTTAGCTAATAAAACAGATGGAATACAATAGTCGTGGAAACCAAGACAAAATAGCCAAACAATGATGTCAGAATGTCACAGATTTCTAGAATAAAAAAACTTAGCCAAAATTTAAAATAATTTAATCTTACGGTCATCCGGCTGCAGAAAAAATATTCGATATAAGATTTGCCCTAATTTTAGAGAAAAAATACTTAGCTTCGTGTAGAATCGACAAAAACAGCCCGTTGCGCTGCAGCTAGCACAGAATGTAGCTACTTCACTATTTTTTTGTTAAAATTTAATGTGAATTAGGGCGGAGCCTTGAACGATCCGACTACCGTCCAACTTTTTTGAAACAGTTTTTGAAAACAATAATTGAAAACAACTGATGAAACTTTCAACAAAATGGAAAGAAAAAAAATCAGATTTTTTCAAATAATCACCCCACGCTATGCGAAGTACGAGAGATGTTCATAGCATCCGTTAAAGTATTAATAACACCAAATATTTTGCCTCAATTTAATTTGAAACGATTTATGAGTGGATTACATAGCGGATTGCATAAAATCTCGCGCGTTAATTGTCGGAAAATAGCCAAATTGGCAATTTTGAAACCTCAGCAAGACTGCTCCTATACTAAGGCAAAACCCTAAATATTCTGACAATGTTCCCGACTAAATATTCGGACTAAAAATTCATCGCACGGTTATGTGAACTACAAAGGGTTGTATTTAGCATTTGTCCTAATTTTGAGACCAAGTAGTTTAGAACGCATTAACATTGAGAGCTAATAGTAACTCGAAACGCATTGATCTGCTGCTTACGCGTGTTATAAAAACGCAAAATATGGCGCGTTATTTATCACAAATTGGCCAAATTAGCAATTTTCAAAACTCCCCTAAATTAAAACAAGACTGCTCGTATCAGGGCGAAGCCCTGAATGTTCCGACTGCCTTTTAAGGTTTTATGAAGCAGTAATAACATTTAAAAAATAAATAAAATAAAATGAAACTTTTTTTTCTAAAATTTGAAATATTTTTAATGAAAATCATCCCCCCACACGCCATATAAAGTACAAAAGGATAGACTTCGCTCCTTGTAACAAATCAATTATGGCAATTAAGCTTCTTTCAACCAATTTGGAACAATTTTAAGACGCTTAACTCTCCGCTTGCGCGTTAATAGCGCGAAATACATCGCGCGTTAATTGTCCCAAATTGGGCAAAATTGCAATCTTTAAACCCCCATAACTTTACGAAAAATGATCACATGTGAAATATCTTTTCAAATTTGAACTCAGGACAACAATAGCTTTCGAACGATATAAAAAAATTCTGTCAACAATGGTTAGTTAAAAAGTCTAAATTTGTCTGAAGAAAAAAACCCACCCCGACACAAATATTCCGTTACTTTCGAAAGTCGGAACAAAAAAATAATCTCCGGTTACAAATACATTTGAGCTTCAAAATATAAAATCCTTCATCTGGCTTAAAATTTTCCTGTAAGCATTGTTTAGTGAAAAAATTAGAAATTGACTGGTTAAAAAACTGGCCCAAGCATGAACACTCTGTCTTCTTCGAATGTCGGAACAATTACTTTTCAAAAAGAGGTCATTTTCTTCTCTAAGTTAATTTCGATTATTTAATTAGTCATATTGAACAAAATTGTTTCTTTCTACCACTTGGAAGCCAGTGATGTCCTAAGTTGAAACTTGAAAAGATAATTTACTTTTGAAAAGTTATTGTTCCGACTTTCGAAGAAAACCGAGTGTTTATGCTTGGGCCAGTTTTTTATCCAGTCAAATTTCCCAGGAATATGGGGAAATAAGAGAAACGGCCTATGCTTAGACAGACTGCAGAGCCTTTCTTAGATCCCCAACAAATCAGGGAAACGCCAATTATTATTTTATAAGCTGAACCTTATGATTTTATTAAATTAGAAAATAATATTTCCAAAACTGAACTTCAATGAGCAACAAGTTGCTAGCAAAATCAATATCCGAAAAACTTTATTTCCAATTTTACCTTCTAACCTTGCTATTAATATTTGAAAAATTAACATTTGAAAAAACAATATCTCTAAATTTAGTTTTTAACCCTGCAAAAATGTCTGTTAAAAGTGTGATAGCTTTTAAAAATCGGTTGATTGTCTAAAAAAGGAAATATAATACCAAAAACCGGTAATGACAAGTTATATTAGTCCATGTGCAATAAAATTACGAGAGACAAATGTTGGTAGTCCATGTGCCATAGGAAAAAAAGTACAGTGTACCATATTTTTAACGAAAAAAGTCTAGTAGCTGGTATCAATATCTTTTAGAAGTCTAGCTACTAGACTTCTTCCCGTTTGACGGCACATGGACCATCAATAGACTTGTTCATTTCAAAAGACGATTTTGAGCATGTTTACAGTTTAAATACCCTTTTCATTTAATTTTTTCTCTATCTTGGTGGTAAATTTGATTGAGTAAATATTTTTTTGTATATTTGAAAAAAGATACATTATTTTGTTTAATTTGTATAATTTTTTATAACCGTTTTCACCGTTTTTTGCTCATAAACATTTTTTTTTGCTCACAAAAGTTTGACTGATGTTAATCTAGTTTAGTTGTTCAAATTGCACGATAGTAGTTCCTTTTGAGTCGCTTCACGGGCGAGTTTAATTTTTCATGCTTGGGAGGAGTTAAAACGTCAAGTTTCAATTTAGTTATTCATCCTTTTAACCAAATCAACAATCTGGTACCCTATTCTGTTTACAATATGCGATTGTAATATAAAACTGTAATAAA